TTGTGGGGCAGTTTTGAACGCGACTGTATAAAATTATTTTCGGACCAAATCTATTCGAGTTTCGCGAGTAGGCTGTGTGTAAGCCTTTTGTGACGTGGTTTAGCACATTTCTTAGAGGGGGTAGTCACGTGCATTATTCGTTTTGGGGGGTGCCAAATGTGTATTTATTCATTAGGGAAGCAAATTCATTCACAATTTTTGATGTTGTGGCGCGGGCCCAAGAACCCTGGGCAGATTCCATCAATTTTGTGAAGTATTTTCACCTTGCAAGGCATGCAAAAGTAGCAAGTTTGCGGTAAATTCACAAGGCATCACAGCGTCGCGCGATGATCGACCAGTCACCCGCAAACCCGCAAACCCGGCAACATCAACTTCGCTCAATGCATTCTGCCGTCGGACAAAGCTTTCTGTCTGCCCAAGAACGAAGGCCACCCGGGCGGCATCAGCTCCGCACGGGATTTGCGCAAGTCTCGCCTGCAGCTCGCAGCGTTTGAGCCAGCATCAGGCTGACATGCATGCAACAGCGCAGCGGTACGCGCACGCAACGTATCCGACGTCACGCCACGCCACTGTACGAATGGACGTCGTTCCAAGAGCGACGCTCGAACCTGCTTTCAGATACTGTCACCTTCGGCAGCGTCCGTCCTGGTCAAAAACATCCGACGCTGTACCTGCAGCGGCTTCTTCCTGACTTGGACCCGCGTGCTCAGCTACGCGAATACAGTCAAAATCGCACTTCGGACCATCCCGGTCCGATCAACGTGGGGCAAGGGAGGCGTCAGAAAAGCTCGGAGACCGTTGTCGCCGTCCGTTTTGCGCTTGCGCGTCGCCAACAGACAACGCTCGCACGTCAGTACCGAGTTCCTTGACGCCTGATAGACGGGTCGCAACATGCTTTGAGACCATATACGCAAGAAGCGGGGCAGGACAACGCTCTCCACTCCTACGCGGAAGCGTTTACGGACTCCGGAATCATGCCCAATCCGAGACAAGACGGAAATTGGCACGATTTGCTGACTGATCCGATGCAGGTCGTCGTTCAGGGACACAGGAACAATAAACCTTATAGTCAGTTTCTGTGCCGTAGTCAACACCATCGTTGCCTGCGCATCTCAAGTACTACCGCCACGTCACACGCAGAAAAACCGAAATCGGCAAAGCTTCAAGGCTTCGAGTGCATTCACACCACCATCTTGGCACTCGAAGCCGAGGATAAGGTCATTTGAGCCGAACAGGACCGTGCCAAGAAGACAATGGCAGAGCTGCGCGCTCACTTTGAGTACGGTGATCGGTGAGGTGCTCACGCGCGACATCCTGATCAGTCGCCATGGTGCCGAGCGGGGTCTGGCTGCGATGCGGCTGCCCACCGCTCCAGCAGCACGAGGGACGCTAAATCAGCGGGGGATAGCGCGAGGCGAAAACATCGACTGCCTCGGCCAATCATCGTGATGACTTTGATATTGATGGCGACGATGACATGGAGGCATCGTTCAAGGACCCTTCTCCACCGCCCCCGCACATGTGTCTGGATCAGCTCGACCTCTGGTCATTCAACAGCATCAACGACTATGACGAGGCGGCTTCTGTAATGAAGCATGCGCGGCCAGCTCATGTTGCATTTGTTTCTAGCGTCTCTGATCACGTGTACAGCACAGGATCGTAGCATCTTCACGCAATCTTATTGTGACCTCGTCGCGATAGCAGACTGTGCCAGTCGCCATCGCACGAAAGTACTGACACCATCTTGAAGACCAACTCCAATCAAGCGCCGTTCTTTTTCGGGCGTCGTACGTACCCACCCGAAACACGGTATGAAGCACGACATTGACATGGTGCGGTGCACGAGTTCCATTGCAACAGAGAATCCGGATGCGATTGCTCGACTAAATGGTGTTGGGACCTGCAGAGCTGCGTGGCCTTGCGCTGCTCGCGTTTTCTACACTGGCCATCTCTTCGTCGACGTCTGACGCTCCGCTTCCAGCAAGGCGGGCTTCGATGGCCACGAGTACTGGAGGCGTGGCATCCACGTTCTGTGTGATGGCGCGCACAAGACGCGCATGCAGCGCAGCGCTGCCACTGTGATCGGCGCGTGCGTTGATATCTGGCGGGCTATGGGCGAGAAGATAGCGTTCAAACGGGTTGCGCGTCATCTTGCGCGGAATCGGCGATAGGGGCAATGGGGGCAGCCGTAGATCCATCTTGTGGCGAGCGTCTCGCCGGGTATCAGCGCGTGCAGGGTTTCCGCCTCGGAGGGGTTGTGCGTCGGTGCGCGCGCCTAGCGGTGGCGAGGGGCAAGGCGAAGGACTAGCGGTGGGGCTGCGCGAGAGGCTCTCGGACAGACACGGCGAAGGTGTCATGGAGGCTGAGCCGATCTCTGCATCGGCGTTCAAGACGATGCACGCCCGCTCGGCGCTGGGAGGCACGGCGGGCGGGGAGGCGGAAAGGTGCAGCTGGGCTGAGGCGGAAGCCATGGCGTTGAATCTCTGCGTCGTAGGCGACGTGGGCGAGAGAGTGAGACCACACGTCTCGGATTGCGCAGCCACGGCGGCGCCCGGGTGAGTGAAGCGAGGCCCAAGCTGAGGTTCGCTTGTCACAAGCGCCGAGCGCTTTGCAGCCAGGACGCGGTTCTTGGTTGGCGTCAGCTCCACATCCATGCTGGGCACGGGCGAGATGTGGTCGGAAGCGATATCGGGAGATGCTAGCATGGGCTCGTCGGGTGTTGTGGTGTCGCTGAGCGTCGGATTGCGCGATCCGGCCTCAGCCGAGGGATGTACGAGGACAACGTTGCTGCTTACCGCAGGACGCGCGGGCCGCTCGTGCGTAGCAATGTCTGGGCATAAGGACGCAGCGCGGGAGGAAGCGCCATCGTCTGATGCGATTCTAGAGCGTGTGCGCGATGGTGGCGACGCGGGCAAGATGGTGGACAAGCCCGAGGACCAAGGACTGGCGGCGGAGGAGGCAGGCGAGACGGGCGCGGGCAGGTGGTTTGCATTGCTCAGCGTCTTTGTGCGTGTGTAGGGATGGCTCACCAGGCGCGCCGAGCTGTGCTGCTGCGCCGAGGCGGTGGTGATTGCATTGGAGGTGTTGGTCGAGTCGGGCGACGAAGGCAGCGGCGACTGGTACGGCACGGGGACGGCGCTGCTGCTGGAGACGGCGCGGGAGGAGCGCGAGCGAGAGTTGGAATGGTGGCCATTGCGACGAGCGACGAGCGCGATGGGTCGACGAGGCAGCGGCGCCACCAGAACCAAGGCGGGCGATGACTGGCCGGCGGCGTCGTGCTGCAACATGACCGCACAGAGGGCGCTCCGAAAGCTTGCCCGAAGTCCAGATAGAGATGGGTGTAGGAGCTGCTCTCGCGGTACGATGCTCCGTGCTAAGCTTGCCTTCGGCCTAGACTCGTGCCGGACCCCGGATCGATGATTTCCGATTGCGGAGCGGCAGAGGGCGTGCGGCTACGGCTGAGCGTGGCAAACAACCTGACGCGACGCCCAAAATTGCGAGCGAACGAGGCAAGCGGAAGCAGATGAGATGATGGCGGAAGTGGTCTTGGTGGTGTGGAGGGGAGTAGAGAGAGAGTGTGCGAGGCTTTCGAACGCATTGACAGCGAGGCCGAGCGCATTGACCGAATCCAGCGGCGTGTGGGCCGAGGCGAGCTGCGCTTCCACCCTCGCCTGCATGGCTGCATGAATGCCACCGCCGCCCCAGGCTCGGCGAATTCCTCGCGCGCGCCGAGCCAAGACATCTAACAGGCCGAAATATCGACGTTTGCCGTGCCAATCGCGCAAAGCCTCGCGCGAGTCCTGCTCACCCTCTCTTCACAGGCGCAACCACGGGCTCAGCGTTCACATTGGCATATTGGGATTGGATTGGTCATGCTCTTCTGCGTCGGATGTAGTCGCGGACCGGCTCGTTGCCGGCCTCGTCGACAAACAGACGACGTTTTGGCTCGTCGTGCCATACGAGGACGCCGAGCTGGCTGGCGTAGTTGCGCACCTCTGCAAAGTCGGACTGGCTGGTGAAGTCGGTGAAGAGCGAGCCGAGGTTCTGCTGGACGCGGTTCTTTTCGCGCTCCCAGAGTCGAATCTGGTCCGAGACGGTGACGGGGAGGAGGGGATCGTTGCGGTGCATCTGGAGGTGGGCGTGGTGGGTGAGGTAGGTGATGATCTGCTCTGCGGTGATGCCGTTGGCGAGCGCCGACTTGACCGAGTCGCGTGTGATGGAGCCGACGAGGAGGTTGGGGAAGCGCGCCTTGATGGTGACAAAGAGCGAGAGGACGGCGACGCGGAGCGGGTTGGAGGTGTAGGCGTAGAGGCGATAGTTGGTCTCGAGGATGATGTAGCCGCGCTCCTCGGGTTCGGAGCCGTTGGTGGAGAGGAGGGGAGCGGCGGCGGACGAGGTGAGGGTGGTGGCGAGGCGGGTGGGGTAGAAGCGGCGGCTGGACGCCTTGCGCTGGTACACGAGCCCGTAGTCACGAAAGTCCTCGAGCATGTGGAGCTGCGTCTCGGGCAGCTCCTCGGTGGAGTAGTCGCGTCCGAGCTCGAGACTGCCGAGCATAAAGAGGAAGGCGAGCACCTCGACCAGATCCATGTTGCGCTCCTCGGCCATGTCGAGGTACTGGAGGAGCAGATGCCAGAGCTGCGTGTTGACGTCCTCCAAGAGGAATTGGAAGCCGCGGCTGGTGATGTTGAGCGATGCGGTGGCCGCGGCGGAGCGCGACTGCATCAGGTTGCTCCGACGCAGCAGATACAGCACGGGTTCGCGCGGCGTGCTCGACTTGTCGCTGCCGACCATGTAGTGGAGGATGGTCTCCCACTTTGTGCGCGCATAGTCGTCGAGAAAGGCGATGTCGACGGCGTTCTTATCCTCGGTATCGCACGGCACGCCAAACGAGCGATGACTGCCTCCTCCCGTGAGTGCTCTTCGCATGCCTTCCGTAAATACGGCGTTGAGCAGCAGGATCTGCTTTGCGCTCGCCGGCTTGAGCTGGACGATCGAGAGGCGGGCGAGCTTGGCGACGGCGACGTCGAACTCGTTGCGCACGTCCTTTCTGAGCCAGGCGAGGAAGTCGTCGGCGGCGAGGGGCGCATGAAGAAAGAGCATGTGCATGATGAGCTGGCGCGCGAGCATGGGCAGCAGCCGGAAGATGGCGAGGCACGACGCAGGCTTTTCGTAGAGCCGGATGAGCACCGAACGCGGCTGTCGATCGAGAAAGTCGTCGATGGTCTCGGCGCCGATGCCGGCAGCGCGCGAGTGTTCCGCTATCGATATCGCATGGTTGTTGCCGCCCTTGCCTGTCGATGTGACGCCCTGGCCCGGTCCGGGAGTGGGACGTTGGGAGGCTGCCATAGCCGGCTCTCGGCCTCTCTCGCTCTGCGCGGCGCGGTGCGGTGCGTCTCTGCTATTCGAAGTTCAAGGCGTGCATCGGATCGCTGCCGTAGACTGAGGCGAGCTGTAAGCTGTGATTGGCTTCCGACGGATGATGCTTATCGTGATGGTGGCTGTGGGAATGTGTCGGCGCCCTTCCGACTCGCGCTTGTCATCCTCTCGGATGGTCCGCCGTCGAGGCTGAGACAGCGCGCCGTTTGCTCGTCCCGCCCGCTGCCTCCACACAACGGCACCTCCGAATTCCGAGCCCAAGGAAATCCGACCGTCCAAAACATTGAGACTCGATCGCACGCCGCTGTAACCCCAATTTGGTACCAATGAATTACGGCCGCGTCCAGACCCTTGGCTGTGGCTCGCGAAGAAAAAATTGCGGAAGAGCCAAGCAGAGCGGCTTCGGATGCTGCCCGAACACCACCATCTCGAGCACCCTACGCTGCCATGGCGGCATTCAGCACTACAGACGAGGCCATCCTCACCGCTCCCCTCGAGCTCGATCCGCTCGCCCAGTCCGCCACCGCTTCCTCGTCCGGCCGCTCCATCTACCACGTCTACGACATCGTCTCCACCGCCGCCAAGATCCACTCCGGTCGCTTCCAACGCGTCGCCTTGCAGTTCCCCGACGAGGCGCTCGTAGATTCGGTCCCCGTGTACTGGGCTCTGCGGCACCAGGTCCGCTCCCTCATCCGCAATGCTTCCTCTTCTTCCTCCTCCAGCGCCGACTCTGCATCCAGCTCGCCCAGCCCCGTGCCCGACTTCTTCATCCTCGCAGATACCAGCTACGGGGGCTGCTGCGTAGACGAGGTGGCAGCAAAGCACGTAGACGCCGATCTCGTCGTCCATTTCGGTCATGCCTGCCTCTCTGCAACGGCCAGGCTGCCCGTCATCTATGTCTTCACAAAACAGCCCTTGGCGAGCGTCTCGGACGCCGCCCAAGCACTGGCAGCGCACGCAAAGAACAACATCCTACAACAGTCCTCGAGCGGATCACATCCAAGCGCGCTCGTCTTCACCTACGACGTCTCCTGGCACCATGTCGCCCAAGACGTCTTTGAGGCTACCCAACTCGCGCTCAAGCAACACGGCATCTCGCTGCCCTTTGTCAGAACCCACGTTGATCTTCGAACAAACTACGAAGACAAACTCCTCAACGGCACATCCAGAGCGGCTGTCCAGCAGACAAGCATGCGCGCTGAGAGTTGCGCCTGCACCACCTCTCCAGCAAGCCCGGCATCCACCTGCTGCGGTGCAGCCTCGGCCTCTTGTTGCGCGCCCTCATCAACCTGTGCTTCCGCAACGGCCACTTCCTCCTCGGCAAATGCGCCATATTCGCCACCAACGCATGCATCCGACGACGTGCGCTCCGATCGCGACTCCCATCCGCTGGGCGCTGCTCGTTCCGTGACGCTGCCCCAAGGCATCGACCATACGCAGTGTGGCTACCTCTATCTAGGTCCCGAATCCCTCTCGCTCACCAACTTGCTCCTCACACTCGGACCCTCCACGCCCCTCGTCTCCTACGATCCCATCCGCGCCACCGCACGAGTCGAGACCGGCTCAACCAATCGGCTGCTGATGAAGCGCTACGCCTCCGTGCTCAAGGCGCGCGACGCCTCGGTGGTGGGCCTGCTCGTAGGCACGCTCGGCGTCCACTCCTATCTGCCGCTCCTCCAGCATCTGCGTGCGCTCCTCACCAGCAAGAAGAGCGCGCGCAAGGTCTACACCATCTCCGTCGGCAAGCTCAATCCGGCCAAGCTCGCCAACTTTCAGGAGATCGACGTGTTTGTGCTCGTCGCCTGTCCCGAAAACACGCTGGTGGACAGCAAGGAGTTCTTCCGGCCCATCGTCACGCCGTTCGAGATGCAGCTCGCCGTCAACGCAGCCGAGCGTCAGCAGCGCGGAGAGGAAGGCGTCGACTGGAGCGGCAAGTACGTGCTCGACCTCGACAAGCTCGTGCCACCGCACCTGCGCGACGCCCAAGACCACCAAGACCTACTTGCGCGCATGGATCAAGTTGAGCTCGACGACACGCATGCATCAGCACAGATTGAAGATGAGAGGCATGGCCAAGACGACGAAGACGACGACGACGACGACGAC